GGTCTCAAGTGTTTCATCTAACGCGTATAGGTTACTTTGACCCATTGGAATATTCAGACGATGTGTAAAACAGAGAATAGTGTATAGGTAATTCTATAAAACACAAAATGTACTTGTAGGTTATGACAAATGTTGAAACATATATAAAAATTTGGGTATTTCAGATAAGAGTTAATAAATTGAATTAAACTGACTTGTTCAACCTTTTTGGATTTGAATCTACAATAGACTAACCTCATTGCAACAGACTGGTTGAAACTTTGTAAACGGAGATATTTTGTATAGCATACACTGAATCACTGCCTTATTGTGCCGGAACTTTTTATGTGTAAGGCCCGCTACTAATTAACGACTTTTTGGTCGCTCGATGTAAAATAATCAAATTATTGTCGATATTTGGTTACTGAGTTTTGTTGACTTTTATTTGTGGGTGATCTTAAATTGCATTTAAGATGGCGAGAATGTGGATGCACACATTCTAGATAAAGGTTAGCAAATGTGAAGTTGTGGGATTGAGTGATGAGTATCTCGAGTAGTAGATGCAGAGAACGTGTACAGTTGTCCATTGACTTGAAAGATCTTGTTAGTAGCGGTCCTGGAGCGTAGCTTCTTTATTCTGACCATGTCGTGATATAGTAAAATTTTTATGTTCAATTATTTTTAGTTAAGAAATTGACTGAAATGACAATTGTTCAGAATAAAGCAGCTACTTATGACGAAATGCAACTGATAGCAAATTATTTCTTATCGCAAAGTATTGTTGCGAGTTTTTATAAAATAAACCTTCCTAAAATGGATTTATTTTTAAACGAAACACATGTATGGTACAGCTATTCGTTTACATGAAGCATTAAAGTATTTTTCTACATTTTATTTATCTAATAATACGTGCTATCAATTTCATTTAATTGTAGATTTGAATCTATTTCTAATCTCGCTGTTCTGTATTATAAATTTTTCAAATATCTGTATAATATTTACTGTAATACTTTTCTGCTTCATGAGATATAGGGATGTTAGAAAGAGTTAAGGAATAAGTATGGGAAACACGTTTAATTTGATAATGTTAGAGCAATAACGATGTTATCGACAGGCAGGTTTCCAAATGTATGTAAAATATTAAATTGTGTTCGTGGCACTCCTAACTATACAAATGCGTAACTGTTCGTGTAAACCTCTGCTCTTTTGTGGACGCTGATGTTGTGGCCTGGGTCACTCCAGCACTGAAAGCATTGTTGTGAGGGTAAGGCAATCCTCTTACTATTTGTTCCAATGACATTCAAGCCTTGGCTTTAAGCGCAGTGATGGAAATTCCACTGCGGGACCTTGCCAGATGTTGACATAAAAGACATTGTTGGAGAGATAGTCTGAGGATTTGGAATGGTAGACAATTTGAGGTTAGATAGGCGGAGGATAGCAGTCGATACGAGTTCTTCAGACTGAATGGTGGAACTGCGAAGGTTCCGGGTCTCCCGACACCCTCGTACACTAGGAGCTGGCTACTCCTTCGTGTGACGCGCCGGGTCTCTAGATGAGCTTGTGCTCGAGCTTTTCATACTCAGTATTTGTTAGGGGGAGAAATTACTGGCTTAGAGTATAGGTGCTCTCGATATACAATGAAGTAATTTATTTGGTCGCATCATTGTGTGATGTCCGCATTACAAGATATGTACATGCGAGAACCAAATTACGGGGTCATGCAACCAAAAAGGCTGCGATGGCATTGCGGTACGACAAAATTAAAAATGCCGAATGAGTCATCGATGGACTCGCGCGTTGGACATGGCGGTCTTTGTTTGTGACACGGGAGCCGTGGAATTATTTCGCCGGTACGCTGCTATTGCTCAATGTGCTGGATATTATTGCTTATTAGCGTTTTCTTTGGCGATGTCGCCAGTAAGTGCCTGCACCAAGGTACACTAATGTAAATAGGAAAATAGCACGTAAGAAGACAGTCGCCAACTGTCGGTATTTATATTGACAAAAGACAAATTACGCCAAAATCAACAAAACAGAGGTTGCATTAGAATTTACAACATTTGTACAGTCAGGACAGCCACATGTTATCAAGTGTACCTAATTGTAATATACATTATTATAATTGTTTTAATATTTTAGTTCCTTTTAACTGGATAACTATGCTAAAATAGATGCTGTATCCACCGTATAATATACAGTTATATGATTTACTCAGTGTAACACTTGTGTATACCTTAAGACAATGGTTAATTTAATTTTGTGACATAGCTACCTTGTTATGGTACCAAGTCGAGGGGGAAATCTGCCGTGAAAATGTTTATAATTGACAAACTAGTCGGGATGTTAAGTGATAACGACCACGTAAAACACCAACCTTTGATATAGTTCTAACTAAATCCATTACTCAAGGATGGCCCTAGATGTTTGCGCTTGAGTATGTAATATACTATACTATTTATTTGTACTGTGACAGTATGGGGTTATATGGAATGTGTGAGTTGGCATGTGGTGGTGCGCGAAACGATGAGCTAAAGTGTTTATTTCCTATCGGATTGTCAGTTCGCAGGCACTGTAACAATAAAAGGATAGAGCTTTATGTCACTAAGTTTTGTATTTTAAATCAATAAACGATAGCAATTGATATATTTATTTTTATTTACCCCTGTTGTGTTATCAAGGAGCAGAATCGTCAGTGTTTTCGATTCAATAAAGGTTTGATATGCATTCTTGTCTATTATTTCCTGAATGGTTTTTCCAGTTATGTAATACCCCATGTATACGGAGGCGATCCTAATACACACTCCGACTTTCGTGTATAATGAGAATTTTAAAATTGATAAACTAGGAGACAACTCTAGCTGGTGCCTCTGTCGCGGAGAACTTAACGGGTTACCGGGGCTCCAGCTCCACGTGCAGGAGAAGGAACGGGGTGGTTTTTAGTCAGTAAGAGTCTGACACTCCCTCCCGCCTCACCCAGGCGGGAGCAGTCATTCGATAATTTTCCCCCCTAAATAAAAAAAAAGCTGGTGCCTCTATATGCAGCAGTATCTACATACTTACTTATTGCACGGTTGGTGCGGACGCTGGCAATCAATTACCGAGCAACGTGCAGCGGGTTCGATTCCGCACGGAGTGACTCGGTGTGATCTACAAATTGTTCCGGGTCTGGGTGTCACATGTTTGTAATAAAAAGAATATGAATCTAATGTGCAGTGCTTACCCTACTGCGCTAACAATGACTAGTAGTAGGTAAATATGCTAGCATCCAAGGTTTACACATGATCTGATCGTCAAATCACATAAGTTGCCATGGGATAGGTAAGAAACAAGTGGGAAAGGATAGACACGTTTAAAAGGCTAGCAACGCACCTGCGACTCCTCTCGTGTTGCGGGTGTCCATGGGTGGAGCTGATCGCTTACCATCAGGTGATCCGTCTGCTCGTTTGCCCCCTATTCCATAACTAATACATCACGCATATATCAGGGACAATATTACGAACCTATTTGCCAGTTATTATCAGTTCCATATTTATAACTCTTGTTAAATTTGGAATAGGTACATCTTATTGGAGCAATCGGTTGAAAAAGCACTGGTTTCTAGGATTATACCTACCCGATGGTTTTTTTTAATTTTACCTCGATTAATATTGTAACGGCTGTTCCTAGTAGGTACATCCTACTAAGGATAAAGCGTAGGCAGGTTTAACACCGCTTCGTTAACAGTTTCCATTGTTTCTAAACAAGATACATTTACTATTTGTAGGCCGTCTATAGTTTATGAAGGATGCATGCATTCGTCGAACGACGCAACGTGGATAGTGTCTCTTAAGCCAACAAGCGTTACTCCTACGCGGTTTCACCCGCTGCTCGACTCCTATAGCTTTTATAGCCCATAGCTTTCCTCGAAAAATGGACTTTCTAACAAAAATAATTATTAAATTCAAAACCAGTAGTTCTGCAGATTAGCGCTTCCAAACAAACAAACTATCTAGCTTTATATATATATATATTAGTAAGATAAGATAAAGTACTATATAAGATGTACATTGGTAGGCACTTATTAATAATAATAAATAAATAATAATGAAAAAAATAAATAAAAAATAGTTTATTTCAATTACAACAGGCATTACATAAAATTATTGGAGATCTCCTTTTAAGCAATGGATTGCTTGTGCTAGGAGAATAAATGAATAAATGTTAAATCATGTAGGTATTAGTACACTAATATTATAAATGTGAAAGTTTCTTAGTTTGTCCGTCAATCACGCTGAAACTACCGAACGGATTTGGTATACAGGCAGGATATGGGCTGACCTGGTTAAATACCCGATTAAATACTCTCATGGGACTAAACAGGAATACGCGGGCAAAGTCGCGGGTAAAAGCTAGTGTAAAATAATGTATTATTTTTAAATCACTTACATATATTACTCCGATAGCATTTACTTATTTCGACAGAATCCACAGTTGCTCCGATAGCCGTGATCGTCTAGTGGTTAGGACCCTACGTTGTGGCCGTAGTAACCCAGGTTCGAATCCTGGTCACGGCAGTGTCAAACACTGTTACGGCGGAGTTGTATTTTTGTTTCTCAAATATTTTGTAGCTTTTTTTATGTTTTTGTCCTTTTTTATAAGTTTTGAGTTCTTTAATAAATAAAGTAAAGTATTTTTTCGAAGATTGAACACTTATAGAGGTTAACTTCAAAATTATGTATTAACATATACATTTTTTATTTGTAAAAATACTTTTCCTTGTATTATTAACTAAACCAAATTAAGTTCATGTACTCATTACGTTTATCACAAGTCAACCGCAACTTGCATACAACGCCATCTAGGCCGGGTCTTCAGCGATTAGTTTAGAGAAGTTCACTGGAGTGCATTGACACCAAGTCCCACATGTAAAAGTTAGTCATAAAATGTCAATAGATGGCGTTACGGGTATTTGTTTTGGTACAACACACGCCGCAGCTGTTCGCTATCACAGAAATCCGTGAGAGAAAAGGAGTGGTGATTAGGTCTGTCTTTGCCTAAAAAATACGTTTTTTCAATGATTCATTAACATTTTGTGACTGGTGACCGTTATATGTGCAAGTTAAAGTTGTTCTACATGTGATATATTGTTGGCAGCGTCAGAAAACAACGCGAAATAGTGTAATTAACGATGTAAACGTTGGTTATGACGTTTACTACGGTGTATTTGTGTGTGTGTGCGTGAGTGACAGCATTGCCGACGACCGTTGAAGCGAATCTTGTAACGGAATAAGTACCTATTGGATGTGAATGCTGTTTTCGGTAAGTTATATTGTTTTGACGATGTTAGACCTAACCTATTTGGCTCATGCCTGCGCTGGGACGCTCTACATAAGTACGTATATATTGTTTGACCTCGATACGCGGCGCGATCTCGTTCGCTATTTCCCTTTGAAAGGCAATTTCTCGCGTTAGTAATTTTTTCTGCACCGACCGCGGTGTTTCCGCACGAATGTTCTGTTTGATTAGCTAATTTATAGTGACGGTGGTAGCGATATAAAAATAAAAAATAAATTGCAGGTAGGAAGTTATCTATGAGTCTTATCACCCCTATGTCTAGCGGGATAAGGTTCTAATTGGTTTTATTGACAGCTGATTTTATTTGTTGAGGGTCGATTAATTTTTGTTTAAATTGATTTATCGTAGGTATAATTAAGTTGAATAGGTAGATATGTGATGAGATTTACGAAGTGTTAGCTGTATGCAGCGTGCAGTAACTCGTGTCGAATCGACCCCACATATGGAAATTGATATTCCGACACTTGCCGGTCTGTCGAACCCGGTAGTTGGTATCCGTACATCCGGCGGCAACACCTGCACAGCTGCACTATACGAGCACCGAGCTAGGTACACTTAATTAAGAGCAACCATCGAACAATTATAACCGAGTCCAACTAATTAGATCTAAATTAACATTTATTAGAATGTAGCTGCAGACTGCAGACGTTGCAGTTCAGGCCGAAATTGTGTTTGTAAGCATGTAATGAAAATTAACATTAACTTCGTAAAAATCAACGATAGAAAGGCGCGAATGTTTTTGTCAAATGACCACGACACTTATAAACGCTGAATTTGCATTATCAAACTTTGGAAGATGCACATTATTGAACTATTAGGCACCTAAATAGATACCTACTAATGCGGACGTACAAACTATTAGCTATTAAACCTAATTCTAATTAAGTACTTACCTAACACAGACGAGCAGGAAATTAGGTAAACGTTGTTGAACGTTAGACAACCTAAGTTTGACCATTGCGTAGGTCTACGAAGTATCTACCTACACTCATAGGTCCATAGTTACCAACGACGTGTGATTCCTAAGAAATTAAACAATAAACATTAGATAAGTTTTTTGAGTATTATGAGTATGACACCTTAGTCTGACATTTGCCTGACCGGTGCTGCGGAAGACCTACTGGCTTACCGGGGCTCCAGTTCGACGCAGGAGTAGAAAAGGTGGTTTTTAGTCAGTAAGAGTCTGACACTCCCTCACCTCGTCCAATTCGGGAAGAGTCATTAGATGATATTATTCATTCTCAATAAACGTATGGCGTTTTTCTGCATTAGCTCGACCAGCTTTTAGACTGTCCTCAAGTCTCCTTTGACACGAAAAAGTACCTACATACCTAAGCTAAAATAATTCGATGGTTCAACCAAACAAGCGAGAATTTATTTCATCTAAAATTACCACAAAGCAATATCTAACGAAGAAGTCACCTACACCAAACCTAATAGATAAGGTAAATACCTACTTAAGTAATACCGCAGAACTAAAAACAGGTTCGATGCACGATCAATGATTGGACGATGGCATTTCAAATATTAGATCATATCGCACTACACTTGGATTCGAACCTGTTTTATTTGCGTCAACTAGTTGTTCAGTCATGGCGTTGTTTTTTAGTAACATTTGTCAAATTATTGTTCTTATCTCATAAGGTATTTTGTAGTTTAAGTGGCGATAGGTTAACTGGTTAGTTATAAATAAGTATTTCACTTTTGCTCGATTTAAAAAGAATCCATTATATTCTTCTATCAAAGCGTTATTCTAGTTACTTCTGGCACAGGTAAAGTTGTATTTTACTGTCGCGAGTGTTGTTTCAAGTCCTACTAGTTAATATTCGGAGCTGCGGACGGCTTAGCAGGTTACCGGAACTCCGACTCGAAGCAGAGATAAGAACTGGGTGGTTTTAAATCATTGAGAGTCTGACAAACTCTCTCGCCTCCCCCAAGACAGGAGAAATCATTGGATGATTTCCCACCTAAAAGAGTCCTAGTAATACCTAGATAGGGCTTAATCTTTTGCCACACATTGGGTACATTTCGAGACATAATTCATACGAATGTTCAGTTAACTATCGTAACAATAATTATTTCACAGATCAACTGACTTGAATGTAACGAAATATGCAAAGGCCTACTTCATTATATCGCTGCTGACCCCATAAAGTAGTCGTAACATAGTAAGAAAATTACTTCTTAATTGCCTTTACAATATTTTCTCATCGCCGGCCGAACGCTGAGTATTTTAAATTGTAAATGTATGAGTAAAGGTCAATGCTCTCAGACCTGCTTTAGTATTAGCTGCTAGACAATAATTAATTGGATTAAAAACCTAATTATAATAGTGTTTAGTTCTATTCGTTGGTCTTATTATTGTTATCGTCTATTGTGAGTTATGTGTAGCCAAAATTAGTTTGTAGTTTGTCTAACTAACAAGATTTTATCAAGGATTAGATATCAAAATAGTAACGACTGATGATGAAACAAATAATAATCTGTTGTAGTTACGTTTAGCCAGAGGAAGATATTTAAGAAAATGATTAAATCTAAGAAGTGAAGAATCCGGAAGGTGCACTTAGGTGTAATGTATGGTGGTCCAGTTTAATAAATAAAATTAACGTACTTTAAGACCAAAGAAAGAAGCAAAAATAACCTTCACAGAGGTATTTAATCCAATTATTAGACTAATAGTACAATAGTATTACTAGTAATACGACTTAGTACCTAATGCTCTCAAACACACCTTGAAACTGATATGTCTATCAAAATTCTTAATCCATATCAACAACAAAGTCATATGGGAAAACCACAAATCTGATCGCGACTTGCATTCGACCAAACGAGTTTATTGGAATTCCAACTAGCATTTTGCATTTACGATCACTGTTTAACTGTTTCAAATAACTTTACCGTCGTTTATGGCTGTTGGATCGAAGTTTTTACTGCACCGCACCGTCGGAATAAAGTAATTATCTACATTATGTAGGTTTACTTCCAGCCTACGCGCTTTATCGTTATTGTAGGACGACTAGTAGGCGGCGGCGTAGGCGAAATTATTACTTGTAATAAGAATTTTGATTTATTATTCACAACCAAAATCTAATTATACCCGATATTTTTCTTATCTACATACCTAATTTATGTACCTACATAATGCTCTAGTTAACCAATGACTAGGTATATATAACCTTTACCAATCTTTTCTAAGAGTGATAAAAACTGGCCGAAAACATAGAGTAAAGTAATTGTTGGATAAACTTCAAAGTGACAAACAAAATTCAAACAGTAAAAAAGACACCAAAAATATATTTGTTCGTCCAATTTTTCTAAAAACGGCAAAATTTCAGACTAAACGTGTTCGAAATATTTTTAGAAGTGTTAAGAGTTTGTTCAAAAGGCTCACAGTGACGATGGCAAGTAAGAGACTCCCCTTCAAAAAGCCACGAGAACTACCTGACAAGACTGTGGAACTGCCGGAGGTGGCTCTAGCAGCTATCGCGTCTTACAAGAAGCAGAAAGAAGTGGGTGACTTCATCAATTTCTTGCTGGCAGCGCTAGATCGAAACTCAAATTGGTTGAACACGGTAGTAGGTAGACAGAACAACTTTAGATGCGTGTTAATGGTCGGAGCAGGCCCCAATCGCTTCCAGCTTCAAGAAGTCATTTATCCGTCTGGAGGCAGTGACATTAAACTGGAAGTAGAACTCAAAGATTCTGAAGATCATGATAAAATAGCTATCGCAGCTTTAGTAAAACTGACAAACCTTGAACTAGAACACCTCCTAAAATACTTGAAGACTCGCCTATGTGACAATACGATGTTGCGTGAGGATCTTCTGAAAGGCAAAGCATTGGGTATAAGTTTTGCCGTCCTGAGGCCATTCTGCGATAAACAGTATCGTGTAATAGAAAGGATTGTTGTCGGGAGCTCCATGAAATGTGTTACCCCCATAATAAAAAAACGCCGAAGGGATGAAAAAATTCTCGTCGAACCTCCATTTAAGAAGACCAGAAAAGTCACATAGCAGAGGCTACAATAGTTGCCGGATTATTGGGTATACAATCATTTCTGAACAAAATGGACAGTCGTTATGGTGTACCGCAGTGTCATGTAGCATGTAATGGCAGCAATTTGGGTCGACTGTAAAATGCGAAGCTCACAGTAAATTATACTCATTTTTGCAATGATCGCTTCCGATTACCTATGATGGATGAGGGCGCATTTGTGGCGAAATGGCTACATTTTGACGGATATTCATTTCTTTTTACCCATGTAATGAGCCTCGTTATTATAGAAATATACCAATATCAGAACTAAACCAACGCTGTGTTGTCGTTTATAAGTTTTATTTGTAGGTGATCAGTGCTGTAATGAATTGATCTATTAATTAATATGTTAAGCTAAATTGTTTACGAAGGACACCAAAAAGTAAAGTAGGAAAACGTAATTAGATTCTGGTGTTCCCTTTCGTTAAACTGTGATCGTTTTTCTTTCGTCGACGGAGCGAGCGTCCGACTTGGAAAGATCAATATCTGTGGAATCAGGGCACCGTGCGCGGGCTAACTTATAGCCACAAATCCTTCCGCCAATAACTTATTACAATAGCACTCGGCGTTACGCAACTGAAGAGTGAAACAATAGTTTTTCCCACTTCGTGTGAGCTTCTAAAAATGGTTAGTTGGGAAAGTTTTCGATCTGCTTATCGGCGGACATAAATCAATTTGAATCATGAAGGCTGAGTATAAGTTGGGTCGCTTCTGAGCCCTTTTTCTAACTTGGGACCGAGCATACGGATTAAGGGAAGCCTGACCGTTGCGTAATTGGCGTAATAGTGGTGTGATTTATCTGATTCCTGTTTTTATATTATATCGTGTATTCATAAGGACCATGAATTGCCTTGTGGCTAGATATTATTTCTAGGTACTTAGGATTCAATAGTAAGATTAGTTACACCAGTATTAACGTTTCATCGAAA